AGTAACTAAGTAAATAAGTAATGTGTGTAATTAAGTAAATAAGTAATGTGTGTAAGTAATTAAGTAAATAAGTAATAAATGTGTAAGTAAATAAAAAATAAGCGTGTAACTAAATAAGTGTGTAAGTAAGTAATAAGTGTGTAAGTAATTAAGTAAATAAGTAATAAACGTGTAACTAAGTAAATAGGTAACAAGTAGATAAAAAGTAAGTAATAAGTTAGTAATAATAGTAATAATTTATTGGGTGTTAAGTAATTATGTAATAAGTAATTGATTTATAAGTAATTTTTAAATTAAGTAAATAAGTTATAAAATTATAATATCTATAAATGTATGGTAAACATTCGTAAGCAAATAGTAAATAAATAAATAAAAATATACAATTTAGTAAGTCATTAGTATGAAATAAGTAAATGATAAGTAGATAAGTAAGTAATTATATGTACCGATAATTAAAAATTAATATTTATGATAGAAAGCAAAAAGTATGTAATAAATAAATAATAAGTATTTAATTTAGTAACCAAGTCAGGAGTAATTATGTAATAAGTAAGTACATAAGCAATTATTAAGTATCTAATAAGTAAAAAGGAAGTAAATTATCATGTTCAAGTAAGTAATAAGAAATATTTAAGTAATTAATAATATTTATGAAAGTAAGTAAAAGTATGAAAGCAATAACTATGTTGGGAAGAAATAATTAATAGGTATGTAATTTACAACATAAGTAACGAGTAATATGTAATGAGTAAGTAATAGTTAAATAAATAGGTTAATGAAGAAGAAAGATATTAAGGAAAATAAATAATCAAATTTTGTATCCTATCTTTAAACTCTAACAAATAGTTTAAAAGTGATGTTTTACTACAAATGAGCGTTTATTTCAACACCAGAACCATCTTTGATCCTCAGCGAGTGCTGGTGTTACCTGCAGGGATGTCTGAGGAGCTTCAGAGGTCCAAATAAGAGCAAACAAAACTAAAACGTCATGAGGTTTAAATAATAAGCATTGCTAGTTTTTGATGTTCTGCTTCTGAACTACACCTGAAACTTTGTGATACTGACTCAGTGCATTAACGACAGAAACATTGAACCTAATAACATTCAAGTTGTGTTTGTGTACATTCAGACGTCTATAAAGTCTTAATTAGAAGCACCAAACTCAGCAGAATAAAGTTTTTATAAACTCCTGCTGCGGTGAGCTGAGGTGGAAGCAGCAGTTTGCACAGCTACAGCAAAGTGTGATGTCACAACACTTCAGCTCGATGAAAAAATATGAAAATATAAAGAAGGTGTCTCTGACAGCGATAGCAGTTTCTGAACCTGTTAACCTACGATGAGACCAGTTTAGCACCGATGGGAGTTTAGTTATTCAAATTATAGAAGGGAGTTATTCTTTGAGAAGTTCAACTCACTAAACACATTTGTTTTAAATTCTGGTTTCCAACTATCAAATGTGCTCAGACTGAAAGCTTTTAATTACCCCAAGAACATTCTGCACACCTTAATGTTGTCAGGGCCCAGTTAAACCAGGACCAAAAATGACAACAAACTGGCTGACTGAACCTTTTCAAACATCAAACAGACGTAGGAGAGGAACGAACCAGACTGACGGCCCAGGGTCCCAAATCCAAAAACCGTCCGAGCAGGTCCAGAGCTCGCAGCCGATGCACCTGACTCAGGAGGACCTGGAAGAAAGCAGAGGTCAAAGGTGAACTGGGGAAGTCTGGGATTAAAGGAAAAGCAGGAAACAGCAGGGGAAATGGCAGAGAGGATGAGAGGGTGGGGCCAAACAGGTGGCTCGCTCACCGGATCAGCTGCTAAAGAAAGAACCACAATACATAGTGTGTGTGTGTGTGTGTGTGTGTGGGAGGTTGGATGCGTCCTCTTGGCAGCCATCTTGTTCGGTCTCTTACAGAGACGTCAGTGTGCGACAGTACCTGAAGCCTAACTTGTGTTGATGTAATCAGAAACCGATGCCAACCAGGATCACGACGGAGCCCCTCAGGCCACGGAGGGATATTTTTAAAAGCCACATGGCGGGAGCGAAAGCTGCGTGCATGTTGGTGTGTGCACGCTGACTCTGCAGAGCAGCAGCCCCGTGTGGCAGGTTGTGTGTGTGGGAAGGAGCAGATGGAGGCAGTCGGGCTCACGCGTGCAGCTCCACCTACACACCACGGCTGAGCCGAGTCCCCGAGGGAGTCGGACCTGCGAGCGTGACCGCCGAAACAGAGGGGGGGGCCCGAGGGAAGACCGACCCGTGGCTGCCTCTGGATCCAACACAGAGCGTGGGAACACTGATGTTCCTGTAAACCTCTCCTGCTACCATCTTTCTCACCTCCTCCTCCTCCTCCTCCTCCTCCTCCTCATCATCATCACCCAGAGAAACATGTCATCTGCATTTGTAATAAATGCTTTGGGCTCGTTTTGGTGTTTAGAAACTAGCATTGATAAAAACTGCAAACACAAAAAATACATTGAAAATACGAGCAGTTTTTTTAAAAAATGTTTTAAATTAGACGAGATTACAAAAAAAATTATCAATTTTCTTTTTAAAATTAAAAAAATAAAAATAAATAACGCCAGTGGAAAAACATTAGTGGTGCATTTTCTTCTATTTTGACAGTGGAAGACGTCAGGAAGGGGCAAGAAAGATCCGTTAAAAACTAAAATAACCCCGTGAGTGTCGAAGGAGAGCAGGCTCCATTCAGAGACGATCATCTGCTGGGAATACTGGAAGGAGAGCAGGTTCCATTCAGACGAAC